AATTTTATGCTGATTCCGAATATGAGTTCTACTGGGGTGCTCGACACTCGCTTATCCTCCCCCGTTCTTTAATTGTGCACAATTTAAAGGCAAACTACTATGACTGTCGCAGCCATATTTTTCATGTGGCATTTCATCTATCCACAGGTAAACAGATCAAATGCCTTATGAAATATAACTGAGATAGTCAAATGTGATAAAAAATACATTTCAATGCTTATTAATAGCGTGTTAAATCGACAATGAAAAAGGACAATTAATAACGGACACCAAAAAAACGTATTGAGCAAAAGGTAAACTACTATCCAGGATGTCGAAAACGGTGTCATTAATTGGCAATTAAATGCACCTCGATCAAATGTGATAAGAAATCTATGTAAATGCTTATTAATAGCGTATTGAATCGTATTTAATTGCGAATTCATTCCATCGTTTTCGACGTCCTGGATAGTAGTTTACCGTTTGCTCAATTCTTTACGTTTTTTTGGTGTTCGTTATTAATTGTCCCCTTTCATTGTCGATTTAACACGCTATTAATAAGCATTTAAGCATGACTTAGCAGATCGATTGCTCACCACTTGTGGCAACGATGAACGCTTGAAACACGCAAAGGATGGTAAGTTGATCCTGTATTTTTTAACCAGATTCACTGGGGCACACACAAGCCAGAACAATTTCTCACTAGATGATTCCCATATGTTGAGAATAGTGCAGAGCACAATGACATCCATGGTCATGAGCATAGTAAAGTGCTAATGGTTGGCTAGCCTTTCCATTAAACTGAGAGAACAGAACTGTATCTGATATTCAGAAGAACCATGACTGAATCTGGCACTGCTACTCATATTCGAGAGCTAGTATGCACCTTGCCATAGTGTTTCAAAGCTTTCCTTCATATAAGAAAGACCAAGGATTCGAACTCTTGACGATGCACATTTGTTTAGATATGACACAATTTCAATCGCTTGCGAATGAAGTGATTCTTGAAATCATCGACTATTTGGACGCTTATGATATTATCTACTCATTCTTTGGATTAAACGATCGTTTCGATAGACTACTCGGCAGTTTACAGTTTGATCTGAACTTTCATCGCATCAGCAAATCCAGATGTAGCTTTATCTATGAACACTTTCCATCAACAGCACAAGTTCGGTCTCTGTGTCTGTGTAAACAGACCTTCGGTTATTTTGACTTGTTCTTCATCCAATTGCCCAAGGACTCATTGCTAAATCTTCGCTCCTTATCGTTGCTCTCCACCAGTCCGGAACAAGTGATCAAAGCTGTGGTGCCACATTTGTCCTGTATGACGCAACTATCGTCACTAACATTTCGTAAGACATTAAGCGACTTCGCTGACAAGACGGCTTCGAACACTTTTGACCAAGTCGCTAGCATACTTGCAAACGAGTTGAAAGTAAACAATATTCTTACTAAACTTGATCTTGAAGGGAATCAAATATCTGAGAGAGGAGGTGAAGCGTTGGCAGAAGCGCTGAGACTAAACAACACTCTGACTCAACTTGATCTTAGAGGCAATCAAATATTCGATCGAGGCTGCGAAGCACTGGCAGAAGCACTAAAAGTAAATCACAGTCTGACTCAGCTGGATCTTAGCTGGAACCGAATATCCGAGAGAGGAGGTAACGCACTGGCGGAAGCACTAAAAGTGAACAATAGTCTCACTCAACTCTGTCTTGAAGGAAACGATATACGCGATAAAGGCGGTGAAGCACTCGGTGAAGCACTAAAAGTAAACTGCACTCTCACTAAGCTAGATCTAGCAAAAAACGGCATGCAGGAAAGAGGTGGTGATGCAGTGGCAGAAGCGCTAAAAGTAAACAATAGTCTCTCTCAACTTGATCTTAGATGGAACGGAATATCCGAGAGAGGAGGTGAAGCACTGGCGGAAGCACTAAAAGTAAACAATAGTCTCACTCAACTTGATCTTAGATGGAACGGAATATCCGAGAGAGGAGGTGAAGCACTGGCGGAAGCGCTAAAAGTAAACTATAGTCTCACTCAACTCTGTCTTGAAGGAAACGATATACGCGATAAAGGTGGTGAAGCACTCGGAGAAGCACTAAAAGTAAACAAAACTCTCACTAAGCTAGATCTTGCAAAGAACGACATGCGGGACAGAGGTGGTGATGCACTGGCAGAAGCACTAAAAGTAAACAATACTCTCACTCAACTTGATCTTAGATGGAACCGAATATCCGAGAGAGGAGGTAAAGCACTGGCAGTAGCAGTCAAACTAAATAACAGTCTGATTCAACTTGACCTTGAAGGGAACGAATGCGGGATAGAGCACTCGGAGAAGCACTAAGAATAAACAACACTCTCACTCGATTTGATCTTAGATGGGACCGAATATCCCATAGAGGAAGCACTCAGAGAAGCATTGATAGAAGGTGAAAGAGTCGTTTTGTAGAATGATTCGGGAGTGGCGTTATTTTATTTTTTGTTGAAGTTTTTCTGCTCTGTAATTTTTTTGTGTGTGTACTGTGTACTATCATTTTCGTCGTTCGTTTTTAAAATAACTTGTACTTGATGGCAATATTATCTTATAGATAAATCAGTTGTGTAAGTTTTACACTATTGTTTTAATTGTTTAAGGGTGTTTCGTTCTACTTTTCGAGGTGTGCACGAGTTAGAGGCGTGCACGAGAGATAGGGGCTGCTCAGATAACATTTTCGACATTCCTGATTTGATATATAGCCGTTGTAAAGCCACCAAGCTGTAGGAAAGACAGAAAACTGCTGGCTTTTTTCACAGGCGTGTCATTTGTGAATCTCTTCTTGGCCAATCGATTGTGGTTGTCCTGTTATCCCTGGCTTACCAAAAAGAACTCGCTTCCTTTCGTCGCTCTTTCCTCGCTTTTTGCTTTTTTTTTTTATACAAACTTATCATAGTATGTGCTCTTTCACAGTTACAATCAATTAAAACAAGTATCTGTTTCATCATATACATCAGAACGCACACTTTAAAAGAAAACAACACGTACAGAAAATAGAACTGATAAAGTTGTCACTCAGAACCTTGATAACAAAAATACCCCTTTTAAAAAATATTTATGAATGGCAGTTATACTACCGCCGATATCAAAATACAATAGTACCACGACAATTTTCTATGCAATTCAAATTGACAATAAAGTACCATGTTACCATGTTATGTGTTAGCTTTCAATTACTCATGAAAAGTACGCATACAATCTAACTATTCTTAGACTATTTTAAAACTATTAAGAAAGTGACAAAAATTGCTTATTAATCAATTTTATACTGCTTCTGCATAGTGTTAGTAGTAATTATTATTCGACCTACCTTATTAAAAATCCATCAAAGATAACCTATGAGTGGTTCCCCAGGCGGAACTCGTACATAGGATCATAGTAATACTATTGCCATTGAATTCAGAATGGCCCCGTTTCCATGGAGAAAATGATTCCCCAAAATCGCCCAAAATGGTCATTTTTGGACAAAATTGCAACTTTCAAATCGTCTGCATTGAAAACGAAAGCTTCTAAGACCGCCAAATTTTTACCCAATATGCTTTGACATATGATCTATTTGAAAATACGGTTGAAAGTCTCACGGTCTACTTCGTTTCAAATGGGTGGTATAGGAAAATTCAAGGTTTTCTGGATTTGGGCTCTTAGTGCTCCATCTATTACAAAATAACGAAAGCATATTTTGAGCTCACCGTTGCGTGGATTTGTAGTAGACACTATCTGCTACTTATGGTAAAATCGCCAAAGTTAAGTAATGTGTTGTTACTGAGTTAGAAGAGTTTAAAGTTGGCCAATTTTCAAGGTGGCGGAATTCACGTTTTTCGGGGCGTTTCGTAAACTTCCAATATATTAGCAACGATACAACTTCTTGATTTCACCAAAATTCATTATCATCATCGTTCTCATGCTTTGTAATTTGTTTGTGTGTGTACCGTGTACTATCATTTTCGTCGTTCGTTTTTAAAATAACTTGAAAAAGTTATGAGAACATCGATTGAAGACTATTCAGCTGTAATAGGTCGTGTCTTACGTGCAATGGCTCTAAGATAAACAAGGTGCAAGAGAAGGACTTCGAGTATCTTATATGACATACGACTGGATGTTAAATAATCATGATGGAGAAGCACCGGTGGATTTAACAGTAGACAAATCGTTAATGGATTAAAGTCATTATAGCATTCCTATAGTAGAATTAGTGATATATCTATTTTTT